GTTTCTAATTAGAGAATAAACCTTCTAAATGGTTCTGTTTTAAAGAGTTAATGAGTTAAGAGCTCCTATACTTAGCAGAATGTAGGATCATAAAATGTTGAGAAAGTAATTATTATCTTATTGTTATTATCTTCACTTTGTGTTAAAAATGCTTTTTTCATTTGTTCAACAAATAAAGCTGAACTTTAGAAGTGCTCCATTTTCTTCATATTTCTGTTTGTGCTTAACTTTTTGATTTGCCGCCTACAGGGGGATTAAAGTTTCTTGAACACCTGTGTACCGAGTATGCCCTTGGTATGCAGCTTACCTACATTTACCCATTTAATTCTCAAGATAGCCCTGTGAAATAGATGGTATTATAGCTGTTTTATAAATGAGGGAACTGTCGCAACTGTTAACCAAGTTGCCTAAGCACTTGTGGGGAGAGCTAGGATTTGTTTCCCACCTGACTCCAAATGGACACCACTTTCAAGGTGCTGAACTTGACCGTGGAAGTCTCCCGTGTGCACTCCTACATGACCAGGCTTGCTAAGACGATTGGCGTCACCGTCACCAACATGCTGAGCTCCTTCCACATCCTACCACGTACTACTTCTACGCCTTCCTTATGGAGTCAAGCCCGCTGTCACTGAGATGCGATTACCTCCTTTCCCATGTCATTCAAGAGCATAAAAACAACAAAAAACAAAGCCCAAAAAACTCCTTCCGTTTCAGAGAACTTCTCAGTTAACTTAGTTAATGTCTCAAGGAAAAAAGAACTGAATTTCTTTGCCTCTCAGAATAACCAGAGAGAATATGACCCTTCCCTTCTTCTTTTACAAAATTTGAAGAGTTGCTTTTCAAATAAATCTCATTTTTAATCAGAGTTTCAGAATAAATAGCAGCTTGCAGTAGCACTGGTAAACTTAATTAACTGCTTGCTTTCTTGTCATTTATCAAGTTTCGGCACATGCTATGTATGTAAGGAAGACACTCTTTTCCCTAGATGAATGGGGCCAAGACTGTCTTAAGTTGTCCAAAGTTAAGTATGCTGATAACTGTGATCCGTAGATTTGCAGGAGCCTGGTTTCTCAAAAGGAAACATTCAAGGGTTGATGGTACCATTCGTAATAACTTACAGCAAATTGAATTCACTTTTCATGTATTTTTTAGTTGCAGGCCCTAGCCTCGGAACTCAAAACTGGTTTCACAGAAGCAATGCAAGAACTGTCAAGAATTCAACATGGAGAATATGCTTTGGAAGAAAAGGTTAAAAGCTGCCGATGTTCCATGGAAGAAAAAGTTACTGAGATGAAGAATTCATTAAACTATTTCAAGGTAGTCCCCTCTTCTATTTCCTTGCTGGAAGGAGAATGTTGGTCTTAGTAATAGCAGTAGAAAATTTGCTCTTTCTCCTAGCAGCCAAATAAAATAATTTGTCCTCTGGGCTATTCTCTAGTCATTATAGAAAAATCCATTTCACCCAGACATGGCAGTTCATGTGTGTAATCCCAGAGCTCTGGGAGGCCAAGGAGGGAGGATTTCTTGAGGCCAAGAGTTCAAGACCAACCTGGGCAACATAGTAAGACCCTGTCTCTAAAAATTAAAAATAGAAAAAGATTAGCTGGGCATGGTAGCTACTGCTTGTAGTCCCAGCTACTTGGGAGGCTAAAACAGAAGGATCATTTGAGCCCAGGAATTCCAGGTTTCAATGAATTATGATTGATTGTACCATCTGGATGACAGAGCAAGACCCTGTTTCTAAGGAAAAAAAAAAAAGAAAGAAAGAAAAGAAAAGAAAAATATTTTATGTCTTTCCTTTTGGAGCTCTGGGTTAAAATTAGAGGCAACAATAGAAGTAAATTTTTCACCTCTCATTAATTCATTCAATAAACATGTATTAAAAACTTATAGCCAGATGCAGTGGTGTGCACCCACATGAAAAGTAAACGAACCAGAGTGGGATCAGTGGGAAATGATGAAATAAAACACGAAAGATGAAATAAAACATGAAAGACAAAGACATGAGAGACAGAGATGGAATTGAGAGGCAAGATGGGATGGGGAGGACTGGGGTATTTTTCTCTATCACCAGCACCCGAGTGCCCAAACAGCTTTATTTTTAAGGAGGCAGTACAAAGTTGTTTTTCAAGGAAGTAAGACACATTTTCAACTTAATTATGAGAAGAGAAACAGGCACAAATTGTCAGGTAAACATAATCTATTACTCCTGTGTGACTTCTAAAATATGGGCAATCCTACATAGCTATAAGATTAGCTGGGAAATGGACGTGACTACTTGGAAGTGCAGCTGTGAAGTTAAACGCTAAAGTTTTTCTTTTGCTGGATTAAAAGTTGAAGCTTAGAGGAAATATGTTGTTATCTGCTCAGGAGGGTCAGTAGAGGGGGATTCGTGCCCTGGATGTTCTCCTAAGCCACGGGGGCCCTGCCACCTCACAGCTCACACTCTACAGTGTACCTCTATTCCCAGTTACTTGGGTGGCCGGGGCAGGAGGATAGCTTGAACCCAGCAGTTTGAGGCTGCAGTGTGCTGTGATAGTGCCTGCGATTAGCCTGGGCAACATAGTAAGATCTCATCTCTAAGAAAATAAAAATTAAAAATAAATTTAATAAAGCTTACATACCTTAGATTATGTTTTATACTTTTATCCAACATAACAGTTTAAAACACACCGATTTTTATTTTTTAGGAAGAGCTGAGCAATGCCATGTCGATGATCCAGGCCATCACTTCCAAACAAGAAGAAATGCAACAGAAAATCGAGCAACTTCAACAGGAGAAACGAAGAGAATCTCGAAAAGTTAAAGCCAAGTGAGTGTTTTAAAAAAAAATTAGCAAAGGCAGGCTCGACACCTGTAGTACAGTGGTTACAGCGCCA